CTTAGGATCATGAGCATTTCCTTTCCTTCTCCATACTCTTCTCTTCCCATCACTCTGGTACAAGTTGATCTTGGTCTCATCTGTCCATAGGATGTTGTTCCAGAACTGTGAAGGCTTTTTTAGATGTCATTTGGCAAACTCTAATCTGGCCTTCCTGTTTTTGAGGCTCACCAATGGTTTACATCTTGTGGTGAACCCTCTGTATTCACTCTGGTGAAGTCTTCTCTTGATTGTTGACTTTGACACACATACACCTACCTCCTGGAGAGTGTTCTTGATCTGGTCAACTGTTGTGAAGGGTGTTTTCTTCACCAGGGAAAGAATTCTTCGGTCATCCACCACAGTTGTTTTTCGTGGTCTTCCGGGTCTTTTGGTGTTGCTGAGCTCACCGGTGCGTTCCTTCTTTTTAAGAATGTTCCAAACAGTGGTTTTGGCCACGCCTAATGTTTTTGCTATCTCTCTGATGGGTTTATTTTGTTTTTTCAGCCTAATGATGGCTTGCTTCACTGATAGTGACAGCTCTTTGGATCTCATCTTGAGAGTTGACAGCAACAGATTCCAAATGCAAATAGCACACTTGAAATGAACTCTGGACCTTTTATCTGCTCATTGTAATTGGGATAATGAGGGAATAACACACACCTGGCCATGGAACAGCTGAGAAACCAATTGTCCCATTACTTTTGGTCCCTTAACAAGTGGGAGGCACATATGCAAACTGTTGTAATTCCTACACCGTTCACCTGATTTGGATGTAAATACCCTCAAATTAAAGCTGACAGTCTGCAGTTAAAGCACATCTTGTTCGTTTCATTTCTAATCCATTGTGGTGGTGTATAGAGCCAAAAATGTTAGAATTGTGTCGATGTCCCAATATTTATGGACCTGACTGTATGTACTTGTATAAAGGTGGCCATACACTATGCAATCTGATTGCGCAATCTCTGTACAATTTCCTTTATGATTTACCAGAACTACGGAATAGGAGGATACAGCTGAAAAACTATTCAATTTGTATCAAATCAGACAGGCCCTTGTACTACATAGCTGATAGGAGGAAGGTAGTATTGTAATGAGGGAGGTGTGGTTCAGAGTGGTGAACACAACCTATCACACCCTCTTCTGTGATGCAACAAGGAAGTGAAGGGTTCCCCATGTTGTGTTTCTGCCTTGTCATTTACAGAGATTTCTTCAGATTCTCTAAATCTTTTGATTATAATATGTACTGTAGATGACATATTTATAGTCTTTGAAATTTTATGTTGAGGAACATTATTATGAAATTGTTCGACAATTTTTAGTCAGCTTTTCAGATTAATGAACCTCTGTACATCTTTACTTCTGAGGCACTCTGACTCTCTAAGATGCTCTATTTTTACCCAGTCACTGGTACCGACTTGTTGTCAATTAACCTAATTAGCTGCAAAATATTTCCCAGCTCTTCCTTGTTAGTACCACCTACTTTGCCAGCTTTTTGTTGTCTTGTCACAACTTGTTTGGGACGTGTTGCTGCTATCAATTTCAAAATGAACTCATTTTTTTCTTATAATGGTACATTTTCTCAGTTTAAACATTTGATACATTTTCTATTGGGAATAAAATATGGGTTTATGAGCTTTGCAAATCATTGCCTTCTGTTTTTATGTAGATTTTATACAGCATCCCAACTTTTTTGGAATTGGGGTTGTATGACCAAATATGGGCTGCACTGAAGAAGTCACCGTTAGAAAGCTAATATGAATCACCAATCATGATCAATTTCTTGGAACGAATAAGTAATTCTGCAGTGTGCAATCTTTACCCAACTGCATCACATGTCCAAATCACTATCAAATTGCGTAAAGAACAGATTTATTACATGCATGATTAAGTCACAAAAATTCTAGTGGTGTGTGGTGATAAAACAGTGTTAAAGCAAAAAACAAAAAAAAAAGCAGTTACACGCTGATTAAAGACAGTTACCTGCCAGTGGCTTCCTGGTAAGCGAGTTCAAGAAGCTCTGCTGAGGAATGCACTAACTCTCTCTGACCATTCCCCTGTAGATCTGCAATGTTCTGACGAGTTTGGTGATGTATTTGTATAGCTTCCCCAGAGGGACCTAAGGATTGTGATGAAAAATGCAAAAAATTATGGTAGGATTCAATGAGTTAGATGAAAAGCAAATATGGAATGATTCCCACTTATTTCTCACAAAATGACTTTTCAGGCTTGGTCACTGCATCCCTCTTTAGTTTATAGTACAGTAGTGTGAAATTGTAGTTATAATAAGAAATAAAAGAATATACAATGTGGCAAACCTAGTCTATTTGAAACTAAGTGATCAGTTAAAAAGAGAACCCTTTCATTGGTGGTGAGTGAAAAAGGGACCTCTTACATTGGTGGTGAGTGTGAGGCAGAATTCTCCTTACAATAAGAATTAAATGTATTGTTAGTTTGCATAAATTGTCAGTGGGACAAATACCTAATTTTATTGGCATTCAGTAGGAACATATAATTAGTGTTACTGGGTATTTAGCAGAGAAACAAGAGGCTCCACTGGTCCCACATTGCTGGTTCTGTAAAGTGACACCAGACTGAGAATTATGGGGACACCATCAAGCCATAGGTCAATCCACCACTGCTCAAGGAACCAGGAGCAAACTCTGGAAAAACCCTACAGTTCCACCGAATGTTGGTGGATTAAAGCTGGTCTATGTCTGATTTTACTGAATAATCTGTAATCTGACTTAACCAACTAATTTATTCTTCTGGCTACTGTGGACCCTTTTATCAATTATATAGTATGCTGCACCTTAAAGTGTTACTAAACCCACAACAGTAAAATCAGTCTGTATATGCAGTAAAAGCATGCTTGCAATACTCACCGTGGAACCTAAGGGGTTCACCCTCCGCATTGTGAAAATAGGCTATGTAATCCTGTCTTTTCTGATCCTCCCCTTCTTCTACTGTCCCCAATCCATCTGCTGATAGTACAGAGCTCTAGGAGGTACTCTGCACATGCTCAGTATAGGGTGTATGGCTAGAGAGTTTTTTTTTTCTTTGTGAGGGTACATGTGATCAGCACTGTCCAGACAGAGGGTCAGGGGTTATGCAGCATCACAGGACAAGCACAGCAGAATGAAAACTCCTTCTACAAGCTTTAACCAGTGCTCAGCTGGAGACTGATAGAAGTCACAAGAATGATATATACTGCTGATGAGAAAATGGTATTTATCAGTTTATATTTACTAAAATGATTGTATTTCCATGTTGTGTGTATTGTGGGAGACCAGATATAGTGAATGCAGGGCTGTGGGTTTAGTAACACTTTAACAGATTATATACAATTGTTTAGTGAAATAGAAAAGCAACCTGATGTTAATGATTTTTAACTGTTTACTGATTAACTCATTAATTAGATAAGAAGTTTGTGCCTTACTCATAGGTACCAAATCACCAAGATGCTACACCAGCATACTCTAGCATTAGTTCTTCAGTTTGTAGCAGAACAGTAACAGGAGGAAAGGCTGAGAGGAGCAATAAGGAAAGCAATATAAACCATAGAATAGTAGAACTTGTCTGAAAACAAAAACTGGAATGGTATATGTGCTGAACACTAAATTCAAAGAGAAAAGGATTTTGTAAAAAAGCCAGATCTCCCTAAACAGTAGTTAATAAAACATCTAAAGGCTTTGTATGAGGCAGAACACCACCAAAGCTTGAGGAATTTGAAGTGCGAACCGATGTTCAAGATATTGTATCAAAACCCCAAATCAAAAAATGTAATATATTGCAGCTTGCTGGTCTCCCAGATGTAGTGTCTGCATTCGTTTTCATGCTTTTTCCCTTTGTAATCCTGCAAATAACACACTTTCTATTCCTTAGCCCTGTGTCCTACAACCAATTCTCCATTGTATCTATGGAAGGCATCACGGTTGTCACACAAAATGGACTTAAAAAATGGTCTGCCTTTTTCTAAATGTAATTGCATATTTATGGGAATAGTAGTTTACACAAGAAAACAAGGGTGATTGTGCTTTCTTTTTAACAGAAAGCAACATTGAATTTTTGGCAGGTATTTTCTGAAAAATCAAACCACTACATCCAAAAACTGGTAAACTACAATCTAACACATTTTCATTTTCAGATTAAAATACAAGTTAAAGTTAAGAGGTTCTAACAAAACTTGAGAAAGAACATCTGGGATAGGCTACAATCCATTTATATATTTTTCTAGGAAAACAAAAATAAAGCATTAGGGCAGGAAAACAATGTAGAATATCTACTAGACACAAAGTAAACACTAAAAAGCTGCACTTTATGGGATTAACCTGGCATAAGAAGGTGCAAACCCCTACAGTCAAGATTTTATATCCTTGTCATTTGTTTGTTGCCCCCCCCCCCCCCAAACAAAGAAAAAATTGTAGGACCTACCCACAGGGAAAGTGTGCATCCACCTTCTACGATTTGAAGTGAGCTTCATTGGCATTCGTGATGGTGCAAAAGGGTTGATGAGAGCCCTTTGGGGGTGGTATCCCCCAGGTCGGAAATGCAGCATTGATTCTGCACTACCTACATGAAACCTGCCAGGGGCGCTAGAGTCTCGCTGTTGAGATTCCATCATCCGCTCCAAAAAATCTGCAACAAAGACAAACATATGCAAACTACATAAAATTATAGAGCATTTAGTTCATATCAGTCGATATTGTTCCTCTATTTCAATGATAAAATAGGGAAACAACTTCAATGTGTCGTTGCCAATTATGCATGAGCAATAAAATAATATCTTTAGCAAATGTGGTCTGGCTTTTTATGTTGTGGGCCATAATGTGATTTTTTACATAACATATTGGACTAGAAAAGCCTAAAGTTAAGGTTTACCATTTAAATGAGTGTTTAGATATGTTTACACACACGTTTTGCCCAGGCCAATTTTCAGCTTTCAGCGTTCTCACACTTTAAAAGACAATTGCGCAGTCATGCAACACTGTACCCATATTAAATTTTTAGCAAATTTTTTTTCACACAAATAGAGCTTTCTTTTGGTGGTATTTAATGGCCACTGAGTTTTTTATTTTTTGCACTATAAACAAAAAAAAAAAAAAAAAATTTGAAAAAAAAAGGTTTTTCTTTGTTTCTATTATAAAATTTTGCAAACAGGTAATTTTTCTCCTTCACTGATGTGCATTGATGAGGTTTTACGGATAGGCAGCACTAATGGACACTGATAGGCTGCACTGATGAGGCGCCACTGGTGGGCATTGATGAGGAGGCACTGATGATGCTCCACTGATATGCAGCAATGATGGGCACTGAAAAGCGGCACTGATGGGCAGTGCTGACACAGCACTGACTGGTGGCTCTAACTGCCGGCACTGCTGGGCACTGATCATCATTGCCATGATGATCAGTACAGATGTCCTCTGTGACATTTGCCAGTTATTGGCAGTACTTTCCTCACGCTGTGACGATAACCGGCAACTGCATTTAATCGGTGATCTGCTGTGTCATTGGACACAGCTGATCACATAGGAAAAGGCCGCTGTGATTGGCCTTTTACCTCATCATGTGGTCAGCTGTGTCCTTCGGACACAGAGATCACGGACAGCGCCGGGAGTGCCCCACTGGGGGCAGGCAGGAGGGTGCATTCTGGGAGGACGTCATATGACGCCCTCCCAGAACTGGACAACTGTGCTGTAGCCATCATTAGGCTATAATAAAGTGGTTAAAAGTGTTCGAGTGTGTTTTTTTCTTCCCAAACTCTGCTGCTCCTGGACGCACTGACAGTGTTCTTTTTTTTTTCCTGCCTGTAAATACTGCTAAAAGCCTATGTGTGCATGAACATATATAGAATAGCATGCAGGAAAGGCAGGAAAAATGCCAGACGCTTCTAAGAGCAGTTGTATAATGTCCAGTGTGCACGAGGCCTTAAAGTGAGTTTTATTTTTTGTGTTTTTTTCATTGAAAATGTTTTTACACAGTCTAGCACAACACCAGAGGAAGATTGTTCTTTAAATGAAGGCATACAGAAATATTATGAAACTGTGAAAACATTTCTAATGTGCTTTCATTCACAGAACAATCTCCCTCTGGTGCATTGATACCATTTATTTCCATTTCTGAGCTAAGGACACAAACATGGGCACGCAAAACTCTGGTGAAACAACTATTTTTTTTAAGGCCTCTTGCATGCGGTACTGATGTTTGAGTATCAGCATTTCTAGACGTAATTTCAGGCATTTGTTTTGCGTGTATACGCACATATTTTGCACGCATTGGGGTGTATGCGCATTCATGTGCACAATACATTCCTAGTCAAAAACAATTAATATTTATGCTCATATGCACGTATTTGCACATAGCGGTGCAAATTACTGACCAGGAACACACATTTTGCTTTTTGTTTTTACTCAAGAAGACACAGCATTTGTTTACACCTGTGTGTACAGGAAAATTGTAAATAATTGGCTGAATTTTAGATAAGTAAAAAAAAAAAAATGCTGCACGGAGCTTTTTTAAGCTGCAGCGTGCAAGAGGCCTAACTCTTTAAAGTACTCAAGTTACAATGTGTATTTCTTGCTGTTCCTAGGAACAAGAAATACATCTATTTTATTTTGAATCTTTCAATACTTATAATATATTGTGTGCTTTAAATTGGTACCTTTAAAGTCTTTTTTCTGTGAGGGAGTTCATAATATATATTTACCCAATTTGCAGTATTTATCTCAAATTCAATATTTTGCTTTGATGATTTGACTCCTATTACTGCATGTAATGCAAAAAAAAAAAATATTGCATGTGATAATCATTAGTGAAGTGACCTTACAGTCACTTTAAAGCAACTATTTAGGAATACTGATAGCTGCTGACAAGGATCACATGCAGTAAAAAAGTAAAAAGTAACAACTAAAATGAAAGTTAAGCAAAGTACAATACTTCTGTGACTTTCTTGTAGTATGACAAGGATCTTTTGGTCACTGCAGAAGGGGAGGAACAATTTAATGCAAACTTCCTCACGCATATGGTCATATTGTAAGCATGACAAATGCTGCAGATGTATTATTTTTGCACAGGCCAGTTTTTTTTTTGCCTTTTTGTGTTGTGACTATTATACATCCTGAATGTTACAGTGAAGTCCCAATACTTTGTGACCACTATTATGCTCTAAGGCGTCTAGACCGCTTTCCTGAAGTAATGCCCTAATGTTGTAGAACACGCGTAAGAAGCAAATACAGTTAGGTGTATTTGATGGACGTTTCTCCTGTCTCAATGTCATTACTAGATATTTTATCTTATATGCACACAGTTTAAAGGTAGCCTTCAGGCAAATAGAAAAAAAAATCATGCACCTTTGAAAAATGGAGCCTGCTGCCACTTGGGTAATCCCTGAATGTTGAAAACAGCGGCAATGCAGTGAGTCACACTAATGCGTGGGTTGAGAGTGGGCATACAAAGCAACGTAACCATAGAAATACTACATAAGTTCATCCATTAGTTTATACAAAGTAGAATTGACAGCAAGTCTGAGGGCTCAATCAGGCAAAATTTCTGTTCAAGATAACAACCCCACCACCCACACACCATCACAAGGAAGTTAACCCCTCTGCACCCATCCTGCTATGCCATAATACTACCTATCCAAAATGTATTCCATCCATCAGGTAGTTTTGGAACAGGAATCAAATTCTGAAATCTGTTCTAAACCATTGCGCTGTAGATCAGGAGTTCATGGATGGTAACCTGATCACCTTCCATTCCTCATCCACATCCTGTCACTGCTCCCCACTCTTTGCTCCTTTTCCTATCTTGCTCAACTAATCCCTACTGCATCCTCTCCCACTCCACTCCACTGTAACTGGTCCCTGCTGCTTCCTCTCTTCTCTATCATGCTGCTCCATCAATACTTACCTACACTGCCGCCTCTCCCATCCTAATCCACTGTCACTGGTCCCTGCAGCTTCTTAATTTCTGTACTATACAGCCTCACTAGAACGGAGACACGCTGCCTCCTCTTATCCTGCTCCATTGACACTAGCCTATCCTGCTTCCGCTTTTCTCTCCAATCCTGCACCACCATTACTAATCCACACTGCCTGCTCTCCCACCCTACTTTACTGCCACTGGTCCCTGTTGCTTACTCTCTTATCTTGCATCCTGCTCATCCATTACTGATCCATACTGCATCCCCTCCCATCCTGTTTCACTGTCACTCATCCCTGCTGCTTCCTCTCTGTTCTCCTATCCTGCTCTCCGTTACCTGTCCACAGTTTCCTCCTCTCCCATTCTGTTCAACTGTCAATAGTCCCTGTGCCTTGCTCACTTCTCTTACACCCATTTCCTCCATTACTGATCCATACTGCATACTCTCCCATCCTGTTCAACTGCCACTCATCCCTGCTGCTTCCTTTCTTCTCTCCCATCCTGCTGCTCCATTGCTGATCTATTCTGCCTCCTCTCTCATCATGCTCCATCATCACTGGTTACTCTGCTTCTTCTCTGGTCTCCTTCTTGCTCCTCCATTACTGATCTATATTGCCCCCTCTACCATCCAGCTTCCTTCCTTATCTCCTGTCCTGTTCCCCCATTACTGAAACATACTGCCTTCTTTCCCATCCTTTTTCAATGTCACTAATTCATACTGCATGTACATTATTGTTCCACATGGACTTCTTGATCTTCTTTCATCTCTCTTTACCATCACTGATCCACACTACCTTCTTTTTACTTTGTTATCCCTTTTCACCCTCACCAATCCACACCATCCCCTCAACCACCCTTGTAATGATTGTGCGCAATAGGGACATGGAAGCTGTAGGCGACAGTCATCTTGTTAAGGTCTCAACCATTTTGTTTTCATGATCAGTGACCATACTCCCTCCCTCTTCCTGCAAACTATGGAATTTGTAGCCATAACTTTTAACAAACTTCAAAAGAGCCTGTTATCTAAATCAGGGACAAAAAGAGACCTGGTCAGTGCTGTAAAACATTAATTGAGGTCTGCAGCATGTCTATTTCCATAAACCAAGAACAAGTATTTTCCCTCTGACCTATCATAAAACAATAATAGCTCACTCAAGCCTGTCAGACATGATGTGCAAGGCCATTAAAGCTCTAGGAATGCAGAGCGTGCCATAAAATGTCTATTCCACAACTTAACAATTCCACATACAAATGATAAAATTCAACAGGAACAGGACACATTAATATTAGGTATATATTTGAAAGGGGAATATCATACCGAGTAAATCAAAGTCATAAATGACTATGTTAGCACTTACGAAAGGGAGAAAGCAGTCTCCTGCCTCATGGGTGACAAATTCCTCCAAGGTATGCAGTGTGTGGTATCCCTGGATTTGAAATATAATTCTGAATAATAATCTGCCAATATTATTCATATAAAACTGTCTTTGTGACTTGGTCATAAACGTGGTGACCTTGCAGCACCCATCCCTTAAACCGGATCATTGGTCAGAGGGCCTCTGTCCACATCTCTTTGATATCACAGAAAAGGCAATGACAGGACCTGGTAAGGTAGCTCTCGTTTTAACTTCAACTAAGGAACAGCCAAGAGATCCACGGCAAAGTTTTTGCTTGGACAATTGGACTCTGCTAAAACCAGGACTTTGCAAGTATTCTCCATTTTCACCTTTTATTTCTCTGTTGCAGTATTGTTCTCTTTATGTCTTTGTAACCTCCTTTTCTGTAAATATTTTAATTGCATTATTTGACCATTTCATTAATAAACCCTATTTTGAAAAGTGTTTAAACTATCTCTAGAACTTTTAATGCAACTAAAGAATCCCTGTCTCTTGAAGAATACTACTGTATATAATAATCCTCCAAATATACCTGTCTGTGGTGACAGTGTGTGTTACAGATGTTTATTGTTCACATTTGTTCTTGCTAATATTGTGAAGGGTTGATAGGCCCAAAGCTATCTGGTGGCAGTTTGGAATTTGAAGGGTCAATTAATAATTAACCTAATCCAGTGACAATCGCTCTCAGGCTGCTGGCACCTAGATTGTGGTCCCGCGAGCTGGAAAATCTTTGTGCAGGGTGCAGCTGAGAGTGGCATTCTTACGCAAGTGACAGCGCAGTGTGAAATTGGTGGGTCCTTTTGTCACGAGTTGGTGAGAAGAGCAGGGGTTGGGTACCGTGTTCGTCACAATCCTGTCTGCTGATATGTTAAAAGTGTCACTGTGCAGCATTTTAAAAAATTACCCTATCACAGCTGGCTAGCACAAAAAATGTGATTCACACACATATAATTTAACAGATGCTAAACATAAGCACAGTACTAAAAAAATTATATAAACCAAAAACATAAATATTGTGCAGCACACACCACACGCACACAAACAATTATAAAAGGTGCATAACTCTACTGATAAAAATACTGGTATACAAAATCCACTGTGCATATACTGTATCCACA